CTCCCTTATCCTTCTTCGGCGAAGTGAGGGCTGATCCTTCTGCGATGACCCTGGGAACTCAAGATTTCAGACCCCCTTTTGTACATTGATCAGAACATTTTCTAACTTCATTTTCAGTTACTTCTTCATTGTAAATTAATGAGCTCGGCCACTGTCAAATTAAATTTCATTGCGCACGAATTTAATGTTACAAGATACTAAACCAGCTTTAAAACATCTATGGTTTTTGCCGATGTTAAATTTTGAACATTGATGTTTCGTAATATCGATAATTTGTTATCGATGTTGCAAACAAAGGCTGTGCTTGCCCTGATTACTCTGTAGGTCTACTAGATTAATACACCTCACACACAATAAAATTAAAAAAAGGCTCTTCGAGTTTTTGAACGTATTTTTAATCCTAAATAAAATAATATGATGATTTCATGATCGTGTCTTCTCAATAGACGTTATACAGAAGTTACAACAAAAGCCTGGGCTTCCGGTCTCATTTTCTTTTTTACTGCATGGCCTTGCACCTCCCCGGAAGGCCGTGTAGTAGTAGGCTAGGCACGTTCGGAAGATGCCCGGATTCTGAGAAAATGTCCTCCAGAAGAGTAGAGAAGTAACTCGCTTTACCCGCGTAGGCTCCTACTGCTTGACAGGCACGTGTTTCAGTGAACGTCAGTCGTCACACACGACCGTACAAAATTCACTGGCAGTTTTATTAGCAGCATTTTACGGCAGATACAGTCTGAATGTAAACAGTAATATTATGTACACCGTTTCTTGTCCTACCGGTGTAGCTGTAAATAAACAATTTTGGACCTCCTACTACCTTACGTTCGCTTATTCACATACACGACGTGCGCAACCTAAAGAAGTGGGATGGGCCAACTACAGTTCTGGACCCCCTTTTACATTTTTATTTACATACAAGATATATTATTAATAAACAAATAAAACATTTTTTAAAAAGAGAATGTACTTATAATGTTCAACCATTTACAAGGTTGCCAGGTTGCTTGAAGAGCATCTTCCTCAAATATCGTACAACAATATTCCAAATTGTCAGGTTAAAAAAGAGGAGACATTCGTGGATTGAACATACTTGTATATACGGAAGTAAAATGTTTTATTGAATGAGATTACGGGGCCCCTTTTACATTTTTCAGGGGGGTCCCTAACCCTCTCTGGCCTACGGCCGTACAACGTGTTGGCCAGAAATATGGAAAGAACTACCTAATTCGGAAACGGGCGATACAGACTGTTTCTGGAGGGGGCTAATAACAGATCGACCCCTACCGCTTAAAGTCCTTCAAGAAAAATGCCCACTTTCTTATAATGTACATTCCTGTTTGAAATGACGTCCGAGCGGCATTTGAGAACACTCCTTTGGAGAGTGATTCAATAAATAAGTGACAAATGAGTGACGTATGTGATAAATTGAGTAAATTTCAACAATAGAATATCCGAAGAGGGGGAGGGGTGGCTCCCGTATCCTCCTGGTTCCGCCAGTTCTGTAAATCTGTTTTGCCTACATGATTTTTTACGACCCGCCGCTGCAAACGTCCGAGCTGTGTTCATAACATTTTTTTGTTACTAAATGTCTAAAACATTACGTAGCTTCTTCTATCTTCTTTAAGATATTGATTAAACTTTTGCGCTGTGCATTCATTACATCATGTTCTGGATGTTCGGAAATACACAGCGTTCAGAAGGTTCAGACGCAGAAGATATGTGGAGGAAGACAAGGGAAGAGTTTTATTCATTGACTCATGGTTTACGATGGCCGTACTTAGTCCAATTCAGTGCCAAAAATCCTTCTGTGGCCCTCAAAGGTCGACATACCAACAAGCACTCGAGTCGTTCGGCTACTATTTCACACTGAAAAGACCAAGACAATACTAAAACCCATAAATAGGAGTTGTCAAAGAGCGTCACATATTGGGCGAATTGTAAAAAGGTATTCAAAAAGTATATCGTTTTAATACTTTGCACTAGGGACGCAACACAGATGTTACCATACACTGACATTCAAAATTAAAACGTCGACGTTAATTGCATCGACTACAACGCACCGATGTTTTAAAGCTGGTTTAGCGACATCCAACATTAAATTCAAGCGCAAAAAAATTGTGAGTGGACGTGTTTATTAATTTATAATTAAGACTTAACTGAAAATAATGTTAAAAATAATGACAAAGGAGAAAAATGAGACTGAAATCCTGAGGGCCCAGGGTAATCTCAAAGGGTCAGTTTCCAGATCACAGTGTAAGGGAACAGGAAGAAGAGTTAGGCCACACCTACGCGCACGGGGTATGGGACCGACCATAAATTAAGTAACGCAGATTTGGAGTATTTTCAATACCCCCTGCACCCGTTATGCGCGCTTGAACCCCCCCCCCTAAATAAGTATGTAACGCTTACGACAATTTCCCCCCGTTAATGCAAGAAGTGAAAATAAATTATAGCACAGTAAAACCAATTTAATTTAGTTGTGTTTTTATTAAAGTAATTAACGACAATTAAAGTAGAAATTAGTCGGCGATGCTGGCTGCAACTAATAAGATTGGGGTGAGTTGCGAGTGAAAAAAGTATGCTTGGGCGAGAAGTATACTTGACCACAAGCTACGCACGCGACGTAGTGGATGATGCAAGAGCGAGTTTACAGAGCAAATTTTAATGGATTCTAGAATACACTACATACCAGTTTTGAATATTTTTCTTCGTAATCTTAAGAGATTAAAAAAAAGTGAAGATATTTCCATTTATTATTGCAATTTATAACTAATAACTTAAGTTTATTTATGTTTTTAATAAAAACTTAATTAATATTTTAATGTTGTACCATAGGACTCAAACAAGTAATTATTTCAGCAAATGTTGAAAGATGTAAAACAATAAATATCAATGCTACGTCACACTTAGCTAATACCCTCCTTCCCCTATGTAACGCAGCGTAACCCCAGAGTATATGGTTCAGCCAAACGCTACCTAGCCCCCCTCTCCCCCTCCTGAGAGTTACGTAATTTATGGACGACCCCTATGCGTTGACAGCCTCTCCAAGTGCGAAGTACGGAGAAAGACGAACGAAATACCAGGGCAATGGGCCAATGATAATTCGCTGAATGTAGATAGTACAAAGCAGCGCTCGTTTGGTTCGAACACATATTAGCAGAGGTACTAGGGAACGCAATTTATTCTAATAAAAAAGCAAAATATGTACATGTATATGTATTCATCTATTTTGTATTTTCCAAAAATCTACGATAAAATAGAAAATAAGTAAAATAAAATGCATTGTAGTGATTAATATTACTCTATACAAACTTCTTCTAAGCACAGAACATTGCCTTAAAGCCTAAAATGGAATGGAAGTGGCTGAATGAAATTTCTACCTACAATAGTAATTGTAAACTGGTCTTCACCACATATGAAAGTTATGTACGAAATCTAAAATACGTTCATAGAACAAACTATGTTTACCAGAAACCGATGTCCAAGTTATTAGTATCGTGTAATCAGTGATGGACACCGAACGTGGGAGGTGGGAGGGGGGAGGGGACATACCCCCACCCAATCGAGATAAAACAATGAACTGTAAAAAAATATTTGTTAATTTTCGATCAAGTTACGCAGGTGCCTTACGAAACATGAACAAACACGTAGTTGAAATTACTTCTACTTTACAAACATTCGCACATTCTATATTTCGCGAATTGGGTTTCTGAGAAGCACGGGGGAGTAAGTTTCACAATAATTCATGGCGAATTCTGATAGTAATAGAAGCACGGTAGCATTGCATTGCTTTGCAAGAAAGATGATCTCAGTAACACATATTGGAAACTCGCATCTGAAATTATTCGTTTCGATGTGTAAACATACTACAATGTAATGAAATATGTAACATAAGTAAAATATGGAGAACTATGTAATTGTACCAAAAATGTAAATATGATAAATAAACATTATTATAATTCATTCAAAATGTCTTGTAAACTCTAAAAAATACTAATGAATGCAGGTATCTTGTTCCTCTAAAAATATGTACTTTACACGAAAATCCGGTTCGTAGTTATTATTTACCTATTTTAACCGTCAAAATACCGTATTGTGATTGTGGGAATTTTTCTTTCACGAACAAAACATTGAAATCGTAAAAACATTGATGCTGAAAACATCGACATTAAAGTCGCATCACCACTTAACACCCGCCGACTCGCCTGACGTTTATGAAAAGTAAAGCCGTTCTACTCAAGTATAACAGAAAACGATATTGTAGTGACAACTTTTATCTTTGGATACAGGTATCAAAAGCGTCTTATATAGTCTCATCTTTTCGTACTAGATGATTTAAATTCCAGTTCTTTTCGTTAAATCTTAAAAGCAGCATTACTACAGGTTTTTTAAGAATATCTGTATTAAGGTTGTTGACCCTAAAAATGACGAGTCAAGCCTCGTATTCAAGAAAATTTCAATTACATGAACAACCCCATTAAAAATACATATGAACCATTACCATTAAAATGTTGGCATAGAGATGCACTCTTGGTACTGCAAGGATTTTGTTTGGAAAAAAGAATATTACCCATTAAAATTTTATATTCTTTAAAATGATAAAAGGGGCAAAGGAGATTAGGCACTTAGATTACAAACTATCTCCACAGCAACAATCATAATTCTTTTGTGGTAAATTCTACTGTGCTCATAACAAAGCAAACAAAAGCTGTGTCCACGATCAACGAGAAAGGAAAAGAGAATCAAACCGGCTTCAGTTACGATTTCTTTTCCCAGAGTAACGGTATCAACTCGATTTTCCACTTGGAACGCGATGATTACATATTTTTCTCTTCAGATGAATATGACTCCACACGTGCAGCAGCTTTCGTCACCTCACCCTCATTCCCCCTGCAGCTCTAGAGCTGCAGGTCGTAGCTCCGTGTATGCAGATATGTTTAACGTTCATAAACATGTCATTACAATTTGTAATAGCACAGGCAACGTAGAAAAAACTCGACACGAAAGTGCTCCGTCGACGAAGTTCCTCCCCAAGCCGCTAGAGCGCTCCGCATCTCTCCATGCAGCAGCGCAGCCATCTCCCCACGCGGCACAACGGAGAACTACGTCGCGCAGCTGTTTTTTGACGTCATTTCCTTAATTACATAAAGAGGTAACGCCTCTTTATGCTCCTGTCTAACAAGACAAAAAGGAGAATTCATTTATGATAACACTTTTACGAGTAATGCACATACTCGGGGAAACAGGATGTGATATGCATCAACGTCCGACAGAGTAAGCAGAATTTGTGAAGAAATGAATGTAACGGCGTATCACGGCAGCGGGTAAGACAAAGAATGCGAGTTTCTCTCCAATGCGCGCTGGCCGTTCTCAGGAACCCAAGGATTTCAATCTGCGCGGCGGGCAGCCTGCCCCACCACCTGCGCCTCGCCTTATACGGAGGCGGCCGTTGCTTCTTCCAGATCCCAGCGAAAGTCCGCGAGATTGCCGTCCATTATCCCTTGTACCGTTCTCGCGATACTACTACCAGGTGTCACTAAAATAAGAAGCGCACGTGAAAACAAGCAAGCGGCGAATATTTATGCAAATGTATGACCTTCTCGACGAAAATATGCTGTTTCGTATAATTTCAAAGTAAGGGTCTGCTTGGGCAGTCGTTAACAACAGAGCCACACGACCATTGCACAACTTACTTTTCTCTTTTGAATACCTCACACTTTTAGGAAGAAGCGTGTATGACTTCCAAATGTCGAAACCATTACAAATAGTCTAAATTAATTACTAATTTAAAATTAGATGAATTGCAATCACAGCGGAAATGAAATAAGCCAACACTTTGTCCTGTTCGCCAATTACATGCGTCTCAGTACTGAATTGTATCATGAAAGGTATAGTAAGTAAAAAAAGAATAATAAAAAGTACATTTAAAAAATATGTTCTGAAACATTAGCCACTTAATTTTATTGCTTCGTAACAATAGGTAATTAATTTAAGTAAAACAATTTCTCTAGAAATAAACGGCAAGTAGCCTGGAACAACAAAAACGCTGTTGAAGACACAACACGTTTTTATATTTGTTCCGAGTTTCTGTGACACCTCTAACATTGCCAAGGTTGCATAGTTTGCTTTCAATTTCTGTGCGCATTGGAAATTAGTAATACAGATAATTTGAAAAAGAATTCTATGGCCCATTTAATGAAAACAAGCGATTTTTACTAAAGCAAACAACTGGAACATATATAACCACCATAAAACAGCAAACACATTACGTATTCTCAAAAAAGTCATGCATGACAAATTAGGTACACGGAAGAGAAGCCAATATGCAAACTTTCTGACGACATCATGATTACATCAGTCTTTTTGTTGTTATTCTATTAGAAATAACTTCACGCTCCATAGCTAAATAGACTTTCCATTTCTAAAACGAAAGCCAATATGCAAACTTTCTGACATCATGATTACAACTGTCTTTTTGTTGTTATTCTAATAGAAATAACTTCACGCTGCATAGCCAAAATAGACTTTCCATTTCTAAAACGAAATATCGAGCAGAAACGTCCTTCATTGGCCGCGTCAAGCGTCAGCTATTAACGCTCCCCAATCCGGTCGATCGCCCGAGCGCAACCGAAAACCAGAGAAAGAGAGGTTGGTAGCCCCGTTGGCCGCGCCGCGCCTCTCCGCTCCGCTCCGCTCCCGCCCCCTCCTTCGCTTGTTTTCTCTCCTCCTCCTCCGTCGCCTCCAACGCTCGCACCGGCCGTTGCAGCCTCCGGCAGGCGAGGGTCTTGTGGCGCGCGGGCGGGGAGGGGGCGGGGCACGGAAGCTCGGTTGGAGGCATTTCAGCCAGACCACTGAAGGGCAAGGGCTTGTCAGATAATTACCAACAATCTTCACGGGTTTGACCCCAACGCGACAAATTGTTTGAGAAATAGCTACGGCGATATTACAAATGTAATTTAAATTAACATTAAATAAAACCATAAAATGTAAGGCTCCAGCCTTCGATCTCGGGGCCGATTCAAGTGAGTTGTAGTTTCTTCAAAGCAACCCCGTTTTGCGGAGTAAATTGGAAATAATGCAGGTACTTCTTTTTTAATTTTAGCAGTTTCTTGATAACGGTGACGTTTCAAAAATAGTTGTGAATAAAGAAATTATGGGAATAAAGAAATTAATTTTTTTAAAGAAGACAGTTTTCATAATACGTTTAGATAATTAAATTGCTAAAACATCCATAATATTATATACGCTCACTCAAAAACGCAATAGCGATGTAAAGAGATTAATTATTCATGTAATATTCTAAACAACCTTGAAATATCTCTACAGTCTTAAATTACAACGCTTACGAAAGATGAGATTAATAGAAAGTTTAAGATCATCTCAATTTTTGATTTAAATATATTACCAATTGTATTAACTTAAAAGTAGCTTTTTAAATAGATACGTTGAATAAAATCATAGCGCTTTTTAACATTTCTTATAGAATCGGGCTAAAAATTGTACTTTAAAAGTTGTTCAGATAACTTCATACTTTGTACATCTTCTCATACGATTATATCCGCAGATAAATTATTGTTTATCTATATTCACGTACATTTGTAGTATTAGGAACATTTCACATTTCTAGATGATAATGTAACTGTGAAAGAAATCTGTCTTGTTTAGTTTCCTATCCCACATCAAATCTTTCTTTTTTAAATTCAGATTTATACCTCTAAAAGTCATAAATATATTATCCAGGTTGTGGACGGTGCAAGTCGCCCTTTTTCAAGTTTGTACTATGCTCGGAACATGAAATGTAGATATCGGTGTGTGTGATATGCTAAAGGGTCAACAGCAAAGATATTGGTACTTCGACTAGCTAAACTCTGACATCACAAGGGAACACTTCAACATCATCAGTATTGTTCTTCAGGAAGATAGTTATTTTTAAAAGCTTGTTCACATCACTGCTATGACGGCATTAATTCGCTATCTAGTAATTACGTCGTACTTAATGGAGGCGGTGGTAAGTATGTCCTTATTATACAAGTATCTTATTACTTCTTTCAATATACTTGCAGGATTTGTACATGGCGCATTTCGTATTAAAGCGTAGGAATTTCCAATTTATTTTCACTTCTTTAGACATTGATTTTTTCGAATTGAAGATTTGTTTTGTAATTGTTAGCAACTTATCTACCGAATGTATTGTAATTTACCCCAAATCATCTACTTTTATAACTGCATCCTGCTAGTTAATTACATTTCATAATGGTTTTTCAACATGTAAGCAAGCTTTAACATTAAGAATATGTTCAAGTATACATTAAACAAGTTCCTCTTCGACTTACTGCATATTATCTAAGAATTAGCGCGTGTTATACCTGTAACTTCCTCATTTAAGCGAGAAGAAGGCAACACAAAATGCACTACAAAAAGTAACCTACAACTATCACATGACGTCGAAATTCCACTCGATGATGTATTACGTAAATGAAGTTCGCTGAAGTGGTTCGGCGTCGCAGCAGCACAAGAACTACACCTTTCCTTCAGAAGCGCACCTGGCAAACACTCGGCGCCACAGCCGGTAAATCACGGCCACGAAGCTCACGGGCGGCGAAAACGCGCCACTCCAAGTACTTAAAACGAGCGATCTGCGAGGTCGACACTACCTGCCAGCTGTGGGATCAACTCTGAGCTAAGTGTCAGTGAAAAAAAAAGAAGGGATAAGATTCAAATAGAATATGAACTAACAAAGGAAACAGCTAATGAAGTTTTATCACAAGTTTTTATTTTTTATTTTTTAATTTAACAGTCATAAACCTCCTCATTTAAGGATAGACATGAAGTTGGCCACAAAAGCCCGGCGATTCGCAGTATTTCAACTATTCATCATTCTCTAACAAATCCGATCTCGTTTAAATCAAAAAAGTAATCTCAATAGAAAAAAAAATGGATCCATTTTTGAGAAAATTTTGAGAATTGCCAGAAGCTTCATGTGAAGCACCGCCAAAATTTCAAGAATTCTTTACAAAATGGGCAGGGCTTCGAGTCAGGCCAGGTCGCTCTGGGAATATTCTTTGTGGAAAAAATCATAGGAAAAGGCGCTAACGTTGCAACTACGGTTGTCACAGACGGACGGACGGACGGGTGGACGTTTCGACAAATTACAACTTTTTTTGGTATTAGGGGAAGCCAAAACGTACATTTCCATTAAAATTTCGAAATCGATTTTCCGCAACAATATACAACTTTCTCTACACTACGTACGAATATGAGGACTAAAAAAGGATTGCATAAGTAATATAACGGGTTAAATAATAATGTCACCGAATCTAAGAAATCACAATGAAAAATTGATTATTTATTGTCATTTATTGTTAGTACAATCACACGTGCTTAATTTATTAAAGTGAAACACGAGTAGTATTAAACTATCCAAAGAAATAAATAAGAACTTAGTACCCATTTCAGAGAACGAAAGATAAACAATTTATGTGAGTAATGATAAATACTCGTAGATCTCAAACTGCTATTCTGAGGATTTCTTTTATATGATAACTCAAGAAAAGAATGACAGAATCTCGTCAGACGAAGAAGTTATGTATTCAGAATGTTAACATTAATAGTCATTAGAGATAACACATTTAATTACAAACTACAATCCACCCTATTACGAAATACTACGAATTAAGACCTACGTTATTATAATCCAAAAATATCTATAATTACGAATCTCAGAGCAATTAAACTCAAGGCTGCAAAGATTTTACGTAACGAAATAACAATAACCAAAACATAACACGTTAAACGTCTACGAGTTGGAGGTAATAGCCGCCTAGAATAACGTTGGCCATTAAACTGTCACCGTGGCCTAGCTGCAGTCACTATAAAGCAGGCTTGATGCAATTGAAACCCACTTCTCGTAAGTTAGTTTTTACGACCTTCATTACCTCTGGGTCATTCAGCCAAGTGCCACAACAAGCGGAGGACGGCGTACGCGGGGCCCGGCAGCTTCCGAGAGATTCGGCCACTGGCGGCGCCAACGGCGATTCTCGGAATCACCCGTTCGGCAGACCCGCGCGCATGCTTTGGATGTCTTGGCACACTAACGCTACAGATGAAAGGTGCGGCAAGGCGAAGAACCTATTATGTTGGTATGAGTTATGGCGCTGCAGAACACAATAGAAGTGAAAAGTTCACCTCTCTTCCTATCCATTACAATTTCATATCTTATCGTAATCATTACAGTCTCTGAAGGTGCAATTGCAATATCATAAATCAATGCCCTCTCAATCTTTTTTCTTTTCAAAATTCTGAATAGGTAAGCATTAAACCTCTTCTATTGGGTTTGTTAATATTAATGCAATGTTTAAATTTAAAGTAATTTAATAACGTCACTGGATCGAAACGACAAATGGAAGGTTAAAGAGCATTGCTGTAGCTGCGTTCGAGGCGCTGGAGAAGGGCTTGTGTTTTGGTACCTAGATGTACTTCGCTACACACAACATTCGTTTAAAAAGTGGTGATGGTAAAATCCATTCCCTGACTTAAATTCAACGACTGAATGCGAAATAAATGATACTGGGACGTAGGAGATCCGTTCCCTAGAGCCTCCGCTGGTCCAGTTAAAAACAAGCTTGTAATACTCCACGAATACATTTAGGCAGTCATTTATTTAAAGTACAGAAACCTACAAAGAACAGCACGCGTTCAGACAATGACATGGAAGAAATACAATACTGAAATTGTAGCTTCATTCATTATCCTGCTGGTTTACGAATGAACTGATACAAAGTACAAAGCGAGTATCACATTAGTTCGTAGATATTATTTGTCACAAACGTGAAATATAATTTATCATAATATAAATATTCATTTTATGTTATTTTATCCAATCAACAAAACGTTTTAATGATCGTATTTAACACTCACTATTAATTACCATTATTTAAAAACAAATAATAGAACGACCAAGTTTCACAAAATAAAACAATTATTAGTGATTGGTTTTATTTTTCAGAAAATTATTCACAAGAATATTCTCTGTTTCTTAAAGTAACTATTAATAAAACTATTAATATCCATTCTCACTTTAGGAACACCAACAAATATTTGTTGAAATATTCTTGCGTTATATTCATTGTTTTTCATCACACTTCAGAAAATAGTGATATAGTATAACAGATACATTCACCATAAGCTTCTTCCATTTACAACACTACATCACAACCCAAGGCAGCCGTTCGCGCTTTTTAGAGGATCGGGATGGAAACGAGCAAGTCGGCAACACCGTGCGCGTAGCGCGCTTCATTCAAATCGAGCGACTAGTTTCTTGACTAGAATTCTTACTCTTTTCTCGGAGTACAAGGAGCAATGGAAAGACCCTCACTCCTAGAAAATCTTAGCTTTGATATAAACTAGATTTTCAGCGAAGCTGAAATTTGATGGATATAATACAAATATAAATTTTACAGGATAATGACAATGTAGAAAAGTTCTGAATTTTTGCAACTTTCAAAAAATCACGGTTTTTAACGAAAATAAGATCTGCGCCATTCGCATAAATGTCTTTCATACTATCGAACAACTAAATTTAATCAAAAACGTTGGAGCTATTTTTTTGGTTTGAAAATGTCCCAAGAGCTTTATGTAAGGAAAAGGAATAGCTAAAATTAATTCAGTTTTAAACATTTCAGTTCATAAACATTAATTCAGTATTATTATTTATTTAAAACATTGAATTACATAACTAATATAAATAGTATTACATAACTATTACTAAAGGCGAGATGGTATGTGCGGTTTTAGCACCACTAGTTTTACAAAGTTTTCAAATCCGTAACACGTAAAGCG